CAGGTTTCAGCGGTGTGTGAAGAGACCATGGTCTGAGGAGGAGATACAAGCTGTGATGAAACATTCGAGGCCTTTTATTGAAAACAGTGTCACTGCCACCAGTGAGCAATGCCTGAAGTGCAAGGAAAAGGAACAACCTATCTTGGAGAAAAGATCCATTCAAAACATTCGAGATTTTGTACGCAACAGGGGCTTGGCCTTTAAAAGACATTCAAATGCTAAACGCTAAATGCACTTTTGGATAGCCTTTTACCTGAGCCTTTACCTTTCTAGGGCATGTTTTACAAGTTGGTGTCTTGTGTTCAGAAATGGTTTAGGTCACTTCATTTTATTTTGCTCACAGGCAGTTTTTTGTTTTGTTTATTTTGCTATGTGATTAGCCTGGGCCTTTTAATATCAGGATTCACTTTTATTTTCATTTATAAATGTTTACAATGCTGTCCTTTAAAAGGAACACTCCACTGTTTTTTCATATTAAACTATGTTATTCCCTTAACTAAGACGAGTTGATACATACCTCTCTCGTCTCAGTGCGTGCACTCAATCGCTCTGGCGCGCAGCGAAACTTTGATAGCACTTAACTTAGCCCAGTTCATTCATTAGGATCCAAACAGAAATGAAGTTAGAAGTGACCAAACACCTCCACGTTTTCCCTATTTAAATACAGTTACACGAGTAGTTACTCGACCAACTATGGTGACACAAAATAAAACGTGGCCCTTTTCTAAGCGGGTAACTATAATGTATGGCGGAATAGCACTTGGGAGCACTTCGACTCGGCGCAGTAATATCAGGCCTACTACCTGATAATCACAGCATGTGGGAACTCGTCTTCAGAGAGGCCTGGTGAGGCCTACTACCTGACAGCCATAATATCTGGGAGCTTTTTCTGCTACCCGATAGAAAGTCAGGCTAGCTGTCCAGTTGTCTGTCCTTGGGCTTGTCTCCAGGGAGGCCTGGTGAGGCCTACTACCTGATAACCATCTTAAGTGGGAATTCACCTTCAGGGAGGCCTGAGGAACCTACCACCTGATAGCAACTGGTAGCTGAGTCCGGGTGACAGTTCCAAGGCGGCCTGCTAAGGCCAGCCAGCTGGGGACTCGCCTATCAGGGAGGCCTGGTTGGGCCTACTAGCTGATAGCAAGTCAATTCTGCTACAAGGGAACACTGTTGGGAACCATACTACACCAACGTAACTATTGGGCCCACCCACAGGCGGCCTAGTACGGCTAGCTACCTGTAGCGGCTATAAAGTATGTCCCACAATGTTGGGACTCACCTCCGAGGAGGCCTGTTTAAGGCCTACTACCCACCGGTGAGCAAACTGCCCGAACCACCAAGGCCAACCATTTCTCTCGAGAAGTGGCCTACAGCGCCCTATTGGGGGCTATCCATACAAGGAGGCCTGCTGAGGCCTACTACCTGATGGCGCAGCCTTCGTTGGCAGATAAGCTGTTTACACAGCGCCTACAGCATCCTGGTGCCTAATCACATTGCCCACGGCAGTGTACTCAGCAAGAGAGCTTAGCACCCTTAAAAACAAGGGGAGTACAACATACGCCACTCTGCCTCAATGGAGGCCCCAGTTAGTCAGGGGCCTACCATCTATGCATGGGCGTCAGCTCAGGGAAATGCTCTGGCTACAGGGGAGCGTACTTCGACCAAAGAAGAAGTGAAGTCTTACTTCATACTCGACCCGAGCCATAGTGGTGCGAGGTAGGATAAACAGAACTGGGAGTGAAGTACTCAGACCTACCCTGAATCACAGGGGAATACTCACACCTCACCCTGAGGTTACCACGGGGCGGACCTGCCAGCGGCTCTAGGGGGTGACAGAAATGTATCTGTGCCCAACCTAGGGGAGTGGGGCTTGAATGAAAGCCAACCACCTACAACCCGGCGCTCGAGCAGTAGCTCAGCGAGGTAAGTGAAGCCCATACTGGCGGCCTAAATCCGTAGGCCAGTTCTGCACGGCAGGGTCGGGCAGGAGACTCAGTCTTCTTCGTGAAGCGAAAGACGGCCTAACCCTGCTCAAAAGGACTTATATACCACGGAGGCCTAACTGAGGCCTACCATGTCCTTTTAAACCATCCTCTGCACCACGCTGCATTACTCTAGTCACCCCAGAATGCAGAGAAGGGGGCGGGCCTTGGCCTAACGACTCCCATGGAAGGAGGCTGATTATACAGGGATGCCAAAAACCTACATTCACAAAGTGAAGGGTCAGAGGAAGAAAAGCTAATTTTAGCAGAACGCCTCTAATATCCCTGGCACAGCCTAGGCCAGCTACAGAGGCGGCCCTGGTGAGGGCCAACCTGTAAGCATAGGTCTATCTGAGGGCTCAGAGGAGCCACAGCCTACTAAAGAATATAGTCTGTATTATTCCATACAAAGGGCTGCAGAACGCTCAACCTAATGAAAACTCAACAGAGCTAAAGAGGCGAAATACTCAGAAAAGTCAAAACGGTCCCATGGGCCGGACATAAGATCTATCTGAAGCTCTAGCGTCAGTCAACACTCTAAGTAAAAAATTCTATCAGAGAGAGACCAACTACTCTACCCTGAGGTGGCTAATAGCCCGAAGGCTAACATAGTTATCATTCTGGCCACCTAACGGGGAACTTCAGGGCCCTGATAATCCAAAAAAGTTATTTTCTTACCTTATTACCTTGACATGGCCCCATAACTCTATACAGGGAACGAGGTCTGTAAAGAGAAACATATTATTTTTTTATCACAAAAAAATACTCTTTATAAAGACCAGCAGCTCACCTGCGGCGTGCGAAGTGAAGACTCACCAGATAGTTCTTACTAACCTGGGATCCCCACTTTACATGCCTGAAAGGGGCGTTTCCACTAACCAAGCCTAGGTGGGCCATCAGAACATAGTTCTCATCATAGGCCCATCCCCAGGCCTGATGTAATGAACGCCTGGGGGTCAGAGGAGAGAGGGCAGATTTCGAGACCCTCCGAGGAGGTTATCCATTACCAACGCCGTGTGCGTTTGTGCTGGATAACCTCCCTCAAATCTCCTCTGTTGCGGGAGTCACGCCTCCTCTGCGACCTGCTCCTCGAGGGAGGGGGCGCACGAGAGGCGACACTGGCTCGCTGGCCCTGCCTACGGTCCTCAGACCGTGAAGGGCCAGGCTCTCCCACCTGCCCGGGTGCGGACGCGGATCTCAGCGGTATACAGGTCTTAAACGCTGCTGAGCGCGCCTTCGCCTCCCTGAACTTCTCCACCACCGCCTCTAAGGAGGTGCCAAAGAGTTCGGAAGGCGAAACCGGCGAATCGAGGAGAAAGGCCTTTTCTTTCTCCCCGATGCCGGCTAGATTTAACCACGGATGCCTCTCCGTGGCCACCATCGACCGGCCGATTGCGGCGGCGGTTTGTTTGGTAGCCCGGAGAGCCAAATCCGTGGTACGGCGCAGCTCAGCCACCGCCTCAGGGGACATCCCTGCCCCCTGGTCGATATCCCCCAGCAGGTCGGCCTGGTATGCCTGCAACACCGCCATAGTGTGCAGTGCAGCGCCGGCCTGACCTACTGCCGTGTATGCTCTGCCATTCAAACGAGCTGTTGTTGTCAGCGGCTTGGATGGCAGGGTTGGAGCTCTCAGTGTCGCTGCCCGCCCAGATACGAGATAGTTCGCGAACATCTCGTCAATGGCCGGCATTGACACATACCCATACTCTCCGATCCCCTCAACATCAGCGAAACTAGCCCGCTGATGTTGGTGAATACGGGCAGAGTATGGGTTCTTCCATGCCTTCTCGATCTCCAAGTGAAGATCAGGAAGGAATGGAAGGCTCACCCGAGCTGGTGGTGTATGGCCGGGGAAAAACCGATCATCGAGTCTGCCGCGAGCGGTCTCTCCTCTAGCGCGCTGCCAAGGCAACTGCAGCCTTCCAGCAGCGCGCTCCATCACATCCACCAGCTCTGCATACACGGGGCAGGGTGGCTGAGGAGGTTCAGGATCTATCTGATCAAAAACCTCCTCAGCCATCTCCTGCGGGTCCGGAAGAGCCGCAACTGCAGGAACAGTCGGTGAGTAATCATCCCCATCGACCTGCAGTTCGCCCTCGTCAGCCGTCAAATCGTCTGAGAGGTTAACAGCCCTCTCGAGGCGATCGACGAGCTCCATCTGGGAACCCCATGACGTAAGTCGTCGCTCTGCCTCGGCACGAGCGGGACCTGCACCACGAGGACCAGACGCTAAATCCCCTTCACTCGAGAGTGAGCGTTTTAAGAGAAAAACACTCGCAGTTCGCACAGAGGGCTCCCTCAAGAACCTCCCGTGCGTGCTCTTCTCCCAGGCAAAAAACGCACAGCTCGTGTGTGTCAGCCGGTGTCAGAAACCTCGGACACGGGTCGGCACACTTACGAAAACAATCCGCCTTTGCTGTGCGTTTCATCTCTTACCTTTTTCTGACGTAAGCTTGAATAGCGTTTCATACAAACAGTCCCTGAAGACGATGAGATGATTTGTCATGTTTGCAAGGCGCCCTCATATACTTCCAGGTCGCACGTTAATCATTCACGCTAATGATTCACGGGCTGTCGCCGGTCAATGTGATTGATGTGATTTTGATAGTGATTTCAGACACCTGTCATGCCTGAGGCTTTCCCCCATAACGTCGATGACGTATTGTTGAGTTCCCTTCGAAAGGGAACATCTTCATCAGTTTGACAACACACATGCTGCAAATACTCAGCGCAACCAAATACAAAAACGCGCTGCAAACGGCAAGAGACTTCAACGTCCTGCAACAGAAGAAAACATGCAAATAGGAAAAACACCAGCAAGTTAGGAAAACATCAGTTTCACAACACACATGCTGCAAATACCATGCAAATAATAAATAATAATAATAATAAAACAATAAACACCACTGTCGAGTAGACATTTGCGTTGTTGGTCAGCCATTTGCAGTGCGTTTCTGTATTTGGTTGTGTTTTGCGAATTTGTAGCACAAGTGATAAAGATGTTTTCTTAATTTGCTGTTTTTGTTTGCATCTGTTTTCTTCTGTTGCAGCGTGTTGAGCCCTCTCAGGCACCATACTAAAAAGCAACAGAAACCAAGCAATAAATTAAATTGATACAAACAGTAAAGCAAAAGTGTAAATATGTCATGCATAAATCGTAAAATACAGAAACAAACAAAAAGCAGGTTATAAAAGACAAATGAAATACAAATTATATTTACAGATGTGCAAAAAAGGTAAAAATATAAGTTGCAACAATGTAAAACAGATTCCCTGATAACTCAAATTGTGTGGTTTACATTAACATTTTGCAAAGGTGTCCTTTTTCTGCCAGCCTTGCGGTCACCAGTTAGATGAAACCAACTTTTAAAGGGTTAGTTCACCCAAAAATAAATTCTGTCAGTAGTTTTCTCACCCTTATGTTCTTCCAACCTCGTAAGACTTTCGTTCATCTTTCGGAACACAAATTAAGATATTTTTGATTAAATCTGAGAGCTGGATCACCCCTCCATAGGCTTCTATTGTACGTGAAACTTGCCGGCCCAGAAAAGTTAGTAAAAACATTGTTAAAATAGAGTGACTACAGTGGCTCAACCTTATGAAGTTGATCAAGCATCAAGAATACTTTTTGTGCAAAAAAAAAAAAACACAAAAACAACGACTTTATTCAACTTTTCATTTTGAGTAATTACTGACAGAATTATTTTTTTGGGGTTGAACTAACCCTTTAATAACTTTTTCGACCTCCAGCTCAGTTGTCTGTGCACACACAGGATTTCTTCTTACAGCCTCTAGAATAGGAGCATACAAATACAGAGTTAAAAATACTTTTAAAGAAAATGTACAATAGAGACATAAATCATTTGTATTACAAGACACCACCAGTCAAAGTCACCAGTCAACCAGTCTTTTGTTTCTAATATTGATATTATATTTACCAAATTAGACAAATTTAAATAGTTTTTGTTGTTAGATTTGTCATCTTTTAGATTGATCACACACAGCATTTAATTATAACAGTAATTACAACCAGGCTTGTAAGTGGATAACGGTATGCAACTTTGCATTTCTGACAGTGTTACCTACCACTTTTTGTCTTGTTATGGGACAGGATCGAAGATCACTTTACAGGGAAGTTAATAAACTTAAGTCTTCAATTGGAAACATTTTTTGGACTTTGGTTCTGTGCCTCTGTGATCTCCCGAACATTTTTTGCTTTGAGATCTTGCACCATCCTTATAATGTTCCTCTGCTGCTCCATAAGAATTTCTTGTTTAGATATTATGTCATGGAGAAGTGCTAAAACATTAAACACAGGTATTGAAAGGTTTACCACACCACCACTGCCATGATATGAGCCTTACACTAACAGTGAATACATGATAGAAAAAACAAAAAGAAATCTTACATCTTATTAATCGGTCATCGCTTTAGAGGCTTTTTCTCTGTGGTCTGGGTGTTTCATGATGCCACGGTGACTGTATTGCCTGTTCGGGAGACTGTAAAGTTGTATCCTGTTGCCACGTCAATTCACTGTGATGTTCTGTGCGGTCTTGTGATTTTCTGGCAGAACTTCTTACTTGCCATGGCTGCAGTAGCCTCCTCATCAGTGTCATTTTCATCCATTAGGCGCCTGTTTCGTTTTAGGAAAGGTGACATTTTTTTAATGATTACTGAATTTGATTAAGAAAGGGTGGTATGGCCCTTGAATTGGTGGTACCCGTTATGCAATTCAAAAATAAATGTGCATATTAATTTGTTAAACTGCACAAAGATATAAGGACCTGTTATAAAGTTCTATGTCAATGAATTACAAAATAATCAATCTTACTTTATTTTCCGTTTTGGTGGCCTCAGAGATCGGTCTGTTGTTCAGCAAGAGGCAGCTTCCGACGTTCTTCACAATAATTTTCAATGAAAAACAGAATTCAAACATCAATTCTACCACCTCTAACATAAAAACAAAGAAAATCCAACCACAGAAAACCACCAAAAAAGCCTATGTAGTACTGTGCTATAGATTAAAATCTACGTGTTGAGATGGTAAAAAAAATATCAACTTACCTTGATCATGTATTAAAACTCCAAAAGATAAAAACCAATATAGCGTGATTGTCGAAGTTAGAACTACTATTTGAATTTCACCGCAACTGCGTTGAGTTGCTGAATAGCTGCTACGTAACTTCCGGATCCTCTGGTAGGCGGGATGGTGTCACGGGGTGCACTCTGGGAAAAGTAGTCCTTTTTGTAAAGCGGATTTAACACCGTATATGTAAATCAACTACTATTTCCATGATGCATTGCAAACTGCGTTATTGTATCAGCAACCACAGATGCCGCATTCACCCGTCTGCCACGTGGTTTGCTCTTAAAGGAGAACTCCGGCGCAAAATGAACCTTTGGTCTAATTACACATTGTTACCTAGTCAACCGTTATCTGAGATTTGTTTTCATGATTATCGAATGTAAATAGTTTTATCTCTAAAAACAGTTTAGCCTATAAAGCTAGTATAACGCTAGTATATTGGGCATCGAGTAATGACAAATAAAAATCGCTTGTTAATACCACTAACAAGGCTCAAAATAGCCCCACACTAGCACGGTAGCATAATGAGGGTCCCTACCTTCAAACCGAAGCATTGAGAACTTTGTATTAAATATCTTCTTATTAAACTGTCTGGACACTGACTCAACTTCGCGTATACAGGCAGAAGCCATCTTTGAAATACAGTCTCTACCAGTTGATCTACGAACGCCGATCCAAGCCTGCTGTTCTCGCTCACCTTATCACAACTTACAGCTCGTTCACATCTCACCAGCGCACTTGGATCGGCGTTCGTAGATCGACTGGTAGAGACTGCTTTTCAAAGATGGCTTCTGCCTGTATACGCGAAGTTGACTGTATGTATAAAATATCTTCTTATTAAACTGTCTGGACACTGACAAAGTTCTCAATGCTTCGGTTTGAAGGTAGAGACCCTCATTATGCTACCGTGCTAGTGTGGGGCTATTTTGAGCCTTGTTAGTGGTATTAACAAGCGATTTTTATTTGTCATTACTCCATGCCCAATATACTAGCGTTATACTAGCTTTATAGGCTAAACTGTTTTTAGAGATAAAACTATTTACATTCGATAATCATGAAAACAAATGTCAGATAACGGTTGACTAGGTAACGATGTGTAATTAGACCAAAGGTTCATTTTGCGCCAGAGTTCTCCTTTAACTGATTTGGGGGAATTACCCATATTAGACCGAGCAAGACTGCTCTAAAAACACACAAGTTTCCCGGAGACCCGTGAATTTTTAAAAACAGAACCATGTTTTATTTCTCAACCGATTTCAATGGTTTACGTGGAGAACATAAATGTTTCTTCTCCAAATACTTACAATCTGTATAGGCTATTCTATGGAGATTATATAAATTATTCATTGTTAAGGAATTGTGAAAACTCTTGTCAAGCATGGATGGTTTTTGCTACAAAAATCATAGTTAAACCATGGGTTTTTGTAGTAAATCTGTTGTTATACAAATGGTAGCCTAATCAATTCGCCAAAAAACACCTTTTTTTGTGGCATAATGATTACCATTTGGTAACCACAAAGTACTCATGCAGTCCCATTCAATCTTTTGTCTTATGATGCTGCAGACTGAACCATTTGTCTTTGTCTTCAATCATTTTGCAAACATCTTATTGTTTTTTTTTTCATTCTGCACATTATCACCTCCTTAACTGCCCATTAAAATAATCTTCCCAACAGAATAATCAAGTCTTCTTTCCTTTAAAACCTGCCTACTTATGTGTAAAAGTGTACTATTTGAATAAATATCTATAGGTATTTTTAACTAGGCCTATAACAAACATATTTCATTTTATTCTTTTCGACAAAATTAACCTAATTTATTAGGTTGCATTATAATGATGTATAAAATATGAACCAATTTAACACCACATCTTACACGGCTATTTTACAGTACAGCACATTCATGCCATCTTTTATTTGCTCAGCCAACCAAAACCCAACCAGATCTCAGCCAAATATTTTCTTATTCTGGCAGACCGAACTCAAGCCAGGGCTTAGCCAAACAGATACAATTTGATTATTTCTTTTGGTTAGCCAGACTCCAGCCAGAGCTTAGCCTAGTACTGTTTGACACAAGAGTGTGAAAAAAACAGTGCCAGAATTGAGCCAGAAGTGCCTAATGTAAGCCAGACTCGGCCCAGACTTTGTTGCTATCTGGGTTGGCGCTTTCTTAATCCAACTGCAAAAGAGTTTTCTTTTTTTTCAAATGTCCATCGTGTTTATTCACGTATTGATTTTTTTATTTTATTGACAAGGCTCTTTTATCTCTAGTTAAATCCACAGAATATTTAGTGATAATTATCTCAGACCATGCCCCACACATTTTAGACCTCTCTTTCCCACAAAACTTGTGTAGACATGCTGGAGGCTGGAAGCTCAATACTGGGTTGTTGGCTGATAAAGAATTTTGCGATTATATTTCTAAGAACATTGATTTTTTTTTTTTTGGAAACAAACAAATCAGATTTGGTTTCACCATCACTTCTATGGGAAACATTTAAAGCTTGTATACGTGGAAGGATTATTTCCTTTAATGCATATTGGACTAAAGCTAGGAAACTAAAACAGCAAAAACTCGTTGACAAAATTTTAGAGGTAGATAGGCTAAATGCCAGGTCACCAAACCCTGTTTTGGAGACACAACGGCTAAAACTACAAACTGAATTTGACTTATTGTCAACTAACAAGGCGGAGTTTCTGCTGAAACTTGCAAGAGCAACCTACTATGAGCATGGAGATAGAGCGGGCCGTCTGTTAGCATCTCAGCTCAGACATCAAACTGCTTCTCAGTTAATCTCACAGGTGTAGGACTCCTCCAATAACCTTATTACTGATCCGGTTAAAATAAACTCAGAGTTCTCTACTTTCTATTCTAATCTTTACAAATCAGAAGCTAGCGTTGACATTGCTGTTATTCAGTCTTTCCTTTCTCATTTAGAAATACCTAAGATAAGTCCTGATATAGCCAGCAGCCTTGATGAGCCTATTAATTTGGAAGAGATAGCCTCCTGTATCCTAACCATGAAAAATAACAAAGCTCCTGGCCCTGACGGCTTCCCTGTCGAATTTAAAAAAAAGTTTTCCACTCAGTTATCCCCCTTATTATTAGAACTGTACAATCACTCCCTTGATCAAGGCTTCCTATCATCATCCTTAAACCAAGCTTTGATGTCCTTAATATTAAAGAAAAACAAAGATGCTACACTTGTGGAAGCTACAGACCTATTAGCCTAATTAATAATGACATTAAACTACTAGCTAAAGTATTGGCCAAACGCTTAGAGGCTCATCTCCAGTCCATTATATCAGTTGATCAAACTGGCTTTATACTTGGTCGTCAGTTGTCATCCAATATATGAAGACTCCTGAATGTAGTCTTTACTCCATCTAAGTCATTAAGGCCAGAAATGGTAATTTTTTTTTTATTTTTTTTTATTTTTTTATCCTTTATTTTACCAGGTGATGTCCCGTTGAGATATTAAAATCTCTTTTACAAGGGAGCCCTGGGGCCAACAATTAGACAAGTAACACAGAAACAAACAAACAAAGCAGATTTACAATACATGTAAAACAATTTAAGAATGACTTAAAGGGTCATTGAAAACATGTACATTGTTCAAATTTGGAACATTTAAACATTTGGAACATTTATCATCATGGTTATCTCGCTAGACGCGGAGAAGGCTTTCGACCGGGTGGAGTGGGATTATTTATTCACAGTCTTACAAAAATTTGGGTTTGGACCTAAAATAATATCATGGATTTGTCTACTATATTCCACTCCATCAGCTTGTGTGAAAACGAACTCTGAAACGTCCCCTTATTTCTCTCTTTCTCGTGGCACCCGTCAGGTGTGTAGATTCAAAATTCCTCAATCCAATTTATTCCGCTATTTCCAATTGCGTGACTTTGCTAAAGCACACTTTGATACCTTCCCTCATCAGCCAATGAAAACTTTAATTAAAGATATAATGTCACTCCCGAAATCACATAGCCATATCTCCTCAAATTATGGCCTGTTACGATCTTCGCAGTTCCCCCCTCTTTTTGCACTCAAGGGAACCTGGGAGAGAGAGCTAGGACTGGAGCTTGACGAGGAGCTGTGGAATAATGCTCTTGCTAACATTAACTCTGTTTGCATCTGTGCTCGCTTGAATCTTATTCAGTTTAAAGTTGTTCACATAATTCATTTCACCAAAGCTAATTTGAAGAAACTTTCTTTAACAGAAGATGATAGGTGCAATAGATGTTCGCTTTCCCCAGCAGATCATACTCACAATTTAGGACAGGTATAAAATGTATATTCATTCTGGTCTTCTTTTTTTGATACGCTGTCAAAGGCTCTCAGTGTTTCTGTGAAACCCTGCCCAATAATTGCAATTTTTGGAATAACACCTGTTGATGGCTTGTACAACAAGCGTCATGCTGATATTATTGCTTTTGCTTCATTGATAGCCAGAAGACGAAT